TAAAGAAAGTGTTGGAGTGCTTAGGAGCAGGGAGGGTTCGATGCCATTAAGGCCGCATTCACCTCTGAGCCCATCCTCAAGCATCCTGATCCCTATAGGCCATTCGTGGTGAAGACAGATGTGTGGGATATGACTTTCGGGGCAGTGCTTTTGCAGGCCTATGCACCCGCAGGAACCTTGTTCCTGTGTGAGTATTCCAGGAAGTTGCTGGCACCAGAGTGGGATTATACCATTTGGGACAAGGAGTTGTTGGTGGTAAGTCGCCTTCGAGATGTAGTAGCACTTGGAGGGAGCCCACCACCAAGTTGAGGTTTGAACTGACCATCAGAACCTAGAGCACCTATAGACTGCTAGGATATTGAACCAGCGACAGGGGCAATGGTCGCTATTATTCGCAAGGTTCGACTTTTGGGTGACATATGTTCCTAGCAGGTGGAACCAGTGCATGGACACCCTATCCCGCTAGCCCGGGTTTACCTGAAAAGAGGACAAGATCATGTCCAGAAGAGACTAGACAGTCACTTGGCTGCAATGGTATTGGTTCTCGTACTTGAAAAGAGGGCTGGACAAGAAGACTTCCATTGTCCCTTCCAGCTCTATTCTATTCTAAAATGGTTTACGGCCACCAAGGAGCCTGTGGACATATGGGTCAGGATTCACAAGGCATAGCAACAGAATCCATTTGTGGCGGCTTGTCACTGTGAGTTGGCTGGTGACAGGAGGAATGGATGTACACAGAGAACCTGTTGCATTTTAGTGACTGCTTCTGTGTTCCTGGGGGACCCCTCTGTGGTATCATCTTGAGACAATGTCATGACAGCCCGATGGCAGGCTACTTTGAGATCTTCAAGATGTTATACCTGGTCTCTAGGACATTTTGATGGCTGCGACAACGGCATGATGTGTCGGGGGTATGTGGCATTGTGTGTGCAATGTCGGCAGGCCTAATATTTGCCCCATAGTCCGTTGCAGCAGTTGCCCATGCCAGAGACTGTGGGAGGTGGTGTCATTGGATTTCATTACGGATTTGCCCCCATCAAAAGGTGCCACCACAATACTGGTTGTTGTGGACATGCTCAATGAAGATAGCTCATTTTATCCTGTGTGCAGGTCTTGCCACCACTCGAGCAACAGCCCACCTGTTCATTGCCTATGTATTCCGGCTGCAAGGTCAACCGGTTAGGGTAGTGTCCGACCGGGGTATGCAGTTCACGGCACGCTTCTGACAGATGCTACTAATGGAACTGAAGTTCCAAGCGTGTCCCTTTTCGGACCATCACCTGGAAACCGATGGGGGACAGAGTGTGAACGCCATCCTGGAATAGTACCTCAGATTTTTCAGCAACTAACAGCAGGACAATTGTGCAGAGGTGCTGGCATTGGCGGAGTTCACTTGTGTTAGAGAATTTTAATTTCTCTGTTGGTGAAAAAATAAATCAGAAGCTCTCACAGTTGATTGCATTTAGCTGATTCAAATAACTTCTTTATATTCATATCAAAACATTTACAATAACATACATTCTTCTTTACAGCAACATAGCACAATGAAGACTTCTTATAGAGAGATTCAGAGACAAACCCGAGACTGGATAAAAATTCAGCTCCTAACTCAATACCTTTTTTGCACAGACTCAGTAGCACTTTCTTCACATTAGCTGACTGAGTTACCACATGACTCTTCCTGCTCATGAATATTCCAACACTCCTCCCTTCATGATAGGAAGAGACATCAGACCTATTGACTTAATACATTTCCATAGTGAACACCACTCAATGGTTTAGTCATCATGTCTGCCAAATTATCCTCAGAAGAACAATGATGTAAACTAATCAATTTTCCTTTTACAGCTTCCCTGACATTACAATACTTAACGTCTGCATGTTTGCTTCTGTTCTTCACCCTGTCACCAGTTGCCATTTTTATACAGGCAGCATTGTCTTCAAATACCTTTACAGATTCTTTTACATTAATATTTAAATTTTGCAACAACTGTACATACCATGTTACTTCAGAACACAATTCAGATAAAGCAATGAACTCTGCTTCCACAGTTGAAATAGCAACAGTTGTTTGTTTTCTGGACTTCCATCCAATCAGAGTCCCTCCAAACAATATTATAATCCCAGAATTTGATTTCCTTGTGTTTATGTCATTTGCATAGTCACTATCGACATAACACTTTAATTTCAATTCCTCAGTAATCTGTATTTGAAGACCCAAATTTATGGTTCCCTTTAAATATCTGAGAA